GAAACTGGCATCATCCGGTAGTCCGAGTGGAGCGGGTGCGACAATGTTCGGTTGTATTATCCGGCAGGAAACGACCGGATCATTTTCCTCTGAATTCCGACGGGGTTTCCGGGAGCAAAGATTCCGGCGAAATCCCTGCCGGATCCTGGCAGATTTGAGTGGGAAGCATGCCGTCTTCTGGTGTTATCCGGTGCCGGTTCCGACGGATCCCGACTGAATCCAGAGGCAGGATGGAGTGACTTGGGTACTCTTGTTGCAGAAGTTCCTGTTAATGATGGATGAAAAACAAAAACAGAACCGTTCACTGATCAGAATGAGCAAGTGTTTACGTTGTTGCGGCTCATTTACAATTGAATCAGTTCGTTCTTCAGTGCCAACGAGTGACCATCGTAACAAAACTTGATATTATAAATATATTATAACATATGGTTTTGTGTAGATCCGTGTTTCAAGAATGCAGGCACATAAAACTTATAAGAATATAAAACGATTGCCTTTTTTCACTTAAATTCATATCATTTTTACATGAATGAGTGCATGTGTGCAATAAACACATTATCTCAGGCTGATTGCTCTGTGTCTTTAATGTACTAAATGTAATGATCTATAATTATTGACTCAATGAGTATGGCCAACATCGTACGCATGCGACATCTGTCGGGATTTGTTCAATTATTATGTGATCTTGGTGAATTTTCGACTTTTTTTAGTTAAAAAAACTATTAAAATGCTTATTATTACGATATAATATATTGATACAAATTGAAAATCCAATCGCCCTGTACGTCAATATGACATATGAATATGAATATGAATGTCTAACTAGTTGATGTGTATTAGAAAGACAAAAAGTCAATATCAATGAGTTGAGAATAGAAGTGGTTTTATGACATTTAGTTTTAGATATTCCCATATTTGTTACAAGCTAGCTTTGGACATAGTTTTCTCACTTTTGCATAGTGGTATATTATGTAAATCATAACTGTCTACTATTTATATTAAACTATTTATCTGAACTTAACAGTCCAGTTTTTAAGTTCATAGAAAATCTAACTTTGACTGAATGTGGGTTGTGTAAATCGAACATGTAGAAATTAAGTTTACTAAAATAGTTGAATTTTGAATGTTCAGTAATAATACTGAGTACTAGGTGAAAATTCGCTATATTACAGTGTATTTTTTATTTTTATTTTTTAAAGTATGTGCTTTTTTATCATTATAGAAAGTATATTACAACTTGAACAATATACAACAATGGCTCAATTTAACTATTTTAATAATGTCGATCACGGGTTCCCTCCGCAGAACATAGCTGGTCAGTATAAAACATACAACGAATGTTTCTTTCTTATGTATTTTAAATGGAAATAAAACAGATTTGAGTTCATTAAATTCGAATTTTCTTTGATAAAAAATACATATCAATTTGTTTTATTTATATCTTGTCATAATAGTTAATAAATCTTACTTAACTAGATTCATGTAAATTTATGAACAAAAAACTTTGTATTTGTAATTTTTAGGCAACGCTATCGAAAATGGTGATGTTCCGTTAGCTATTGAGGCACAAGAAATCGAACGTCGAAATGAACCAGTAGGCAACAATCATTATGGTCTCATACTTCCCGGTTACGTGGGAAATATGCCAAAACCAACAAATAATGGTATGTATTATTTTTCATTCTATTCAAATATTATGATGGGAAATTAGTGTGAGGAGACGACAAATGCCTCCATATTCGTATTACGATGACTTAAATAAAACAATATATCCAACAGTTTAATCTTTCTGCTAATTTTTTGGAATATTTTTCTTATGGCGAACAGTACAGTTCTATGACTTCAATTACTCCAATGATGAGAGTGATCAACACTCTTACAAACATAGAATTTGATTGGGTGACTGCTGAATACGAACACCCTCTACATTAATTGGTGTGTCAAATGGATACATCACATGAAGTGGGAGTCGCCCTGTTTTTATTCAGCATTTGTATCCTTCTTTCTCATTAAATTATTTTCAAATTAAAAAAACTAGATTAATAGAGAAGTGCAATAAATCATCGACATTCACTTCAATGAAATCCAACATTCTTCTCTGTTCAGTTAAAATAAAATTCTGCAATAGAATAATTTCAATTCCCATCATGATTAACGGAATGATACTTGCCGCAATTACTTTTTCACATTAGATAGTTATTTTTGTTATTTAAATTTAATGAAAAATTAGAATAATCATTAATTCCTTCGTTGAGCTGTTGCGAAATAAACTACCTAGAGACTGCCTGTGAATCTACTGATTTCGTTTTTTCAATGATTAAAATTACAAATCAGGCTAATATAATCTGTCTAAGAAAATGATTCGGAAAATATCAATGATGATTACATTGTTGGACAGATAGTACTGATTTCATATTTGTTTTTTTTTATAGAAAAAACAGTTACTCTTATTTACGAAAACATTCTTGCGATATTACAATTGTTAAAAGCATTTCAATGATATCATTATGTTCTTTTTTTAGATAATATTGGCGTTCAACCAATTGAAATTGAGCGATTACAAAATAATGACGCAGTTATGCGACAAGCTTGCTTTCATTTCTAATTAATCTACCAACAGATCAGATACCAGTTATTACTGGCCATCAGATATTTTATCCATATTCAAAAAACACAAAGGAAAAACAGTTACAAATACTCAGTTAACTTTTTTTCTCTTTTCATGTTCTTCTTCTTTTATTTTATGTTAAGTTTTTTCTTTTGGCAGTTGTACCTCAGCATTAGGGTTGCCACCTCTTCCGCTTTTTCTGTTTTTCTTTCCGCTTTTTGGACTTCATCAGATGGCAACCCTGTCCAGCATTTCTCTTCTTTTACATCTCCATAAAAGATGTGTCTTGTTTTACGCTGATATGTACTAGGCTTTCTTTACTACATTGATCACAAGATAATAAAGAACAAATTAAAAATAATATATTCATAGAGAATTTACGAAAATTATGCATGTATGTATGAATTAATACGTGACAAACTTGCTATGATGAGTATATTTACATGTGTGTACAGATTCGAAATATGACAATAACATCTATTTATACATATGCATATTAATTAAAATGCTGAGAAAAGTTTCTTTCTTTTAAGTATTTCAATGTTGCATCTACTTGACTAATTTTTAAGGTTTTGTTTAATTTTTACAGGTTATGTTTATGTTATGGATATTCTTGTAGTTAACTAGATAGCCACAAGAGGAAATGTAGAATCTATTTTTATTTTTCAAATTTGCATATGCTTGCTTGATTAATTGAATAGTCTATAACTAGTTGAATAACAGTCTCAAATCGTTATGATCATGCAAATGAGAGTTAAATATTAATAGCTTTTGTTGAAGATTATACAAGATTAAGTTTGTTAAAAATATCGAACACAATTGCAATATACAAATATGTGGCATAAAATAATTTGAAACTGTCATAAATTTCAGTTTTATTTTTTGAAAACGTTCACAGCTACTTCGAAAAATTAGTCGACTTTGATTTTATATTGATCATAAAGATCGAGATCAATTAGGAAAATATTCAATAACAGCAAGAATCAATTCACCACATATATATCTCGAACATTTCTCACATGTTTCCTATCGATTTAAAATCTTTTATTGGCGTAACAGATGCAGGGATATGTTTGAACGATTCATTCAAAACAGTTCCGTAAGTAACATACTATCTTCTATGAAAAATATCAATTATTTAAAATTTCAGATTATCCATCACTGTCTATGATAATGCCTTTCATCGAAGTCGGCTTATCTAGGAGATGCATCGATTTCAAATATTTTTCTGAAAGTTTTGCTTCGATGAATACTTATTCTATGTTTGAGACAAACTTATTTTGTTTGAATTGATTCAAAATTGAATACAAGAAAGAAAAACTGGTACATATTTGGTTTAAGAAAATTTTAATTTTTTTAGATACTATCATAAATTGAAAGTAATCATACATTGACATTGCAGAATGTTCAACATTACTGTACAATTAATAATCTAATTTATAAGATTTTACATGGAACATCTTTGTTTTTTAGGATCTTTGGGATTGAGTAACATCATGTATTGTAAGACTGATCTATTTCACAGTGGATTACACTTAACATATACTTTCACAGGATGATCATTCCATCTAACTTTTCAACATTTGTTCAAATCTGGATTTGAACAAATGTTGATTATGCTGGATAGACTCCTATTATAAATTGCTTTGGTATTCGCATAACACAAATACAACTGAAATACATTCAATACGTTATGCTGACCGTTTCAAAAATAGTTAGAATTTTTTGTTTTTTTGCAAGTGATAAATGTAATTGATCATTTCAATGACAAAGGTTTCGTAATCAAAGTAAGTAATCCAGGTTAAAAAAATCTTGAGAAAAAAGATGTGTTTTACAGCGGCAAGAGAAGGTTCAAAGCTTTAATAATGAACGAAAGAATTCATGCTAGTAGTCGCCAATCTTAAAAGGTTGCAGAATCCATTCTATTAGAGCCAGCTTAGTTAGTCAAAGAAATCGAACTGAAGACGACTATGTAAAAATATCACTTACTTTTTCGCTTGCATCTGCTGAAAATATAGTCCAATGTTCTATCGGTCAGCTTCCAAAAAAACGCCATCTACATACACCTTATGTAGCAAAAAATTTCAAAAAAGCTTACGACACTCGGTATTCCCAGGCGGTCACCCATCCAAGTACTAACCGAGCCCGACGTTGCTTAACTTCAGTGATCGGACGAGAACTGGTGTATTCAACGTGGTATGGCCGTAAGCATACAACAATCGTCTATTCCTTCATATGGTGGTGTCCATAGGATACCCAATATTCTAATCTACTAATGCCAGTTGTTTTCATTGTGTTCATTCAAGCGTGAATGATACTTGCATAGAACTGACATTCTTTTTTATGAATCGATTTGTCTCCTCATAAGAGAAATCGGCTAATTGGTCACACCGACAAGGTGATATGAAATTTGGTGCAAAAAAAGCAAACTAATGGATTTCAATAACAATCTAAGCATCACGTCACATCGTGTTTGCCGGGGTATAAAAAGGCGTTTAACCGTAGAGGCGAACAACAAACTTTGCTTGTTGGATTTTTTGAATCACCTAGTGTAGAAAGATTACTAAGTTATCTTCTATAACATTATGAGTACGAAATAAAATAAAACAGTTTTCTGTAAATGTAAACTAAATAGTACAAAATTAAGAAAAATATGAAAAAAAAGATATTTAAACTAATTTCATTCTTTTTGTAGATTTCGATGACACTCAAGGATTATTTTCGGTAAATATGAATAAAAGATCTGATGTGATGGATTTTCAGATTTTTGGACCACTTCGTTCATTGTAAAAGAAAATAATTCATTCAAATTCAAAATGCAATCAAGAAAATTAATTAACATCAAATAAATGAGAAAAACTAGAAACAATTTCATATATATGTAAGTATAGACATCAATTTAGTGCGTCCGAAGTCAACTTTAACTAACTTTTACAATGTTGCGATGAATAAAGAATCATTTTCAATTTGTAACATAGTAATGTCTCATAGATAAGTATTGCCAAAAATGTATGTATTGTGAAACAGGAGATATGTAGGCTTGTAAAAGAGTAGATTTTTTAGATCTAGCCCTTTTTAAATGTACGTTTGAAGGTCATGATGACCTATCGGACCTTTTCGTGCTACAATTTGACAAAATCCGTATTTTATATTTCTTCGATATTGCTGTCTTGTCCAGAGTCTCCAGAGAAATGTTATCCACATTAGATTTCTTTTTGATCGACAGAATAGAAAGTGGAATATATAGAAATAAGTTAGACGGAAAACAAGTTGAAATTCAGTGCATGAATTATCAGAAGAGAGACGACAGCTAGTAAAATTGATTCGAGCTCAATACTACGTAAATGCACAGGATCTGTAGAAAAAAATATTTGAACACGCCTTTTCTTTATTGCTTCATCGCTGCTATTGACTGACTGCCTCGATATATATTTAGAGTAGAAATGCATACATAAATATTTATTGTCAACCATTTAATGTCAGCAGAATGAAAAGAAAGTTTACTATTGCCCTGTATGACATTTTTCCGCTTGAGTAGAGCACGTATCACACCGGTACAATTATTTTCACCTGTTGAATTATGTCTAATACTCAGATTCACAATAGTGTTGCTGGTTTATCTAATTTTCATAAAAAGTTATTACACTGACGCAATACTTAGAGTATGCGCTAACGTAAGTGATGAAGTCGTATACACGTGTGGCATGGATTCTTAAAGATGAGCGTGAAAACACGATCGATACTTACACCCTCGAGTTTTCTATCAAACAAGCAGAAACAACATGCTTTCTGATAGGTTATTGTATCCATGAAATTTTCTTACCAGGCACGAAGATCCAAAAATCAAGAGTGTTTTGGTTAAATCAGGAAATTGGGCTACCCTGTTTATAAAGTAATTGTTCCTTTACACTTTTGCCTATCACAAAGGTAGAGACGAAAGGTTAGCCATTAAATACAATCTATTTGTTCATCAACGATCTAGATTTTATTCTATAGTTGTCACTAACTATATCGCATTGCTAATCATCTGAGACAAACGATGTCAATATTCGCTTCTTTAAGCATTTTTCAATCAGATCAACATTATATTCTATGGAACAATCTGTGAGCATTTTTCTCTCATTGAAATTCCTGTTTGTGTTAATAAATATTTCCAGTTTATCTTTATATAGATATGTTGTTGAAACAAACGTAAAATTATAAATACACACAAAAGGAAATCTTTATAAATAGCTCACTGAAATGTATGACAAAGAAACAAGATGAGAAAAATTTGCAAAAAAAGAAGAATTTCTTTCTTCAACTAAATTCGAATCCAGCAGCTGCTTGAATAGCATATAAAAGTTTTTCTTTCAGCATATTTCCATCTTGGTATTCAGGTAATTTTAACAGATTTATACATGTATTTGATGTTGGTAGACGATCGATTTCAGAACCAGCCGATTGAATACTAAATTCAGGATACAATTCCTAAAATATACAGAATAAAAGAAAAATATATATTTAATTATTTCTTTCAAATTTACTAATCCAAAGATAAAACAAAATATTTTCTTTTCGCTTGAATTGATATGTTCGGCTACACGAACAGCTACGTAAAATTAAACTATCGAGTTTAGAATGAAAGTCTGGATGTGTTTCTCTCGGAAAAAAGTCGAATGTCTTTTCCAACATTTTAAACATTACTTTCAGAGTCAATGATTTATATTTCTCTTGAAAATCGAAGTCCAATGTCATTGATAATATTTACCTTAAATCCAAATAATGGTGGCCGTGAGCAACTTGTAGTAAATTTTAATAATTTTCTTTTTTGATCTTCTGTAAATTCAGAAACACATTTCCAAAATGCTTGTATTATTGGATGTTCTTTATTATAGGGTGCTACAATAAACATCAATAAATAAATTTTTGTTTTGTTAAAATAATTCTTTTCTTACGTTTATATTGGCAAAAATTTTTCCAATCGTCAACATCAATTTCTCCTGGTGCACCGGATATTAAAATTCTTAATTCATTAGCATCAAACATTCTTAACCATTCAAGATCAATAACATCAGACAAGCCTTGACGAAATTTCAATACTTGTTCATTAATCTGTTTATTTAATTTATAATTAGCAACAAGATGAATATATTCAATACGATTTTCTTCTGTTACAGCTGTGTTTCGGCCATTTGCTTTTAATTCGATAACCTAAATAAATATTAAATGTCTTTTTTTATTGTTCAAAAACAACGTTTTTCTTTTGTTTACTTGTGTTTGACCAATTTCACTATTGACAATGGTAAAATCTAAACCTAAGTCTTCGACATTACCAGTATAGTTTTTTAAATACAGTAAATTCTTATACATTTCAGGATCTAATGAAGCTAAATGATCGATATCAACTTTTCCCGATGAACGTGAAAGAATTTTTTGTAAGAAAAATGTTGCGAATGGTAGTTCAGCAAGAAATTTTTCATAAATTGCCTAGAAAAAGAATGATAAAGAAAATTTTCATTTCTATAACTTTTTTTTCTTCAAATTCTTACTTTTCCTAACATACGACCAAGAAAATAATAATGTGGACCGAAGTTTTCATCAATAAAAGCTACATTTGGATTTGGATATAAATAACCGTCGCTCGTTAATTTAAATAGACCACGTATTGGATTAAATGATGTTTTAAGTAGTTCATTCATAAATTCACGAAATAAGCCACCACCATCAATGCCAGCTTCATCAAGTCCTGCTGCATTTATAAAGCTCACACGAAATTTACGTCGAAGATTTGGCTCTAAAATGAGAAAAGAAAAGAACTTTAATATTTATATAATCTATAGTAGGAAAATCTTCAAGCAATAGATTCAGCTAGAATACTATTGGTTAATTTCAATTAAAAGTTCGACACTGTGTCTGTACTAGAGACATACGGAACATATTATAATTCGGATATCGAAAATTTCAGTTATAGTTCAAGACTCCAATTTTTTTGCAAATAATCTTAGAAATCATATCGATCAGAAGTCTATAGGTTACACTCACCATTTTGTGGACTAAGTTTGTCGAAAGCATCTTCATAAATATAACCTCGACGAACGCGAATATTGACTGATGAACCACTTTGTAGAAAGTCAGCACCCACTTGTTGCTCACTTTTATTTTGATGAATTAACATATTGAAAACCTTTAATAGAAGTGAATATTAATTAAAATAAACGAGAAAAATATTTTTTAATATGTACTTGAACACGTTTATCAAATGGTATAACGAATGGTATTTGTTTCAAAACAGTTAACACACGAAGTTCAGTCACAGAGAATGGAAACGCATCAGGTGCTAGTAGAATATTTATATTGTATATATCAAAGCGAAGAAAAAAACAATATTTACTTTGATCCAGATTTGAATGGTTACCGAATGATAGAAGCGACGGATCAGATAGACCACGAGTAAGTGGCAGTAAATAAATCTAAATAGATTTAAATTCATGTTCATATTGTTGAATATGTAAATTGAAAACATCAGTTTTACTACGGAGAATTTCTTTTATTCAACGAGAAAATAAATACTGGAAGTTATATTCACTCGTTTCTTACGAAAAGAAATCTCAGTACCAAAATTTTTACAAGATGAAATATTTAATTCTCTAGATAGATCGATAGCCTCTTTTCGTCTAATACCTTATCAAGATTCAATGGGCATTGATTAGTTAACCAGTTTTCTTGTGGACAAAATCGTCTTCGAACATCTCTCGATCGGATTTGTTGAAGTAATTGTACAATTATCTGAAAGTAATTTCAAATAAATCATCAATTCGAAATAAACGCTCTCCTATTTACTTTAAAAATCATTGAAAATTTCGATGCTCGCTTTTGTGCAAGTTCAACTTGTTTTTGTGTTCGATTTGCTTTCGTTTGCGATTCTTTATCATCATTTGTACCTATTGTCGTATTGGTTGATTGCATACTTATTTGTTTATCTGGATACATAAATCTAACTATTCCCATGCATACATCGCGTAATGTTCTGACCATGTCCGAAATTTCATTCATTTGAAATGCAGTGTGTGGGGGCCCAAGAAAAAATTCATCATCATGTAATGGCACAAGTGACATACTATATAATGAACCAAATGTGACAAGTAATGATTCAATGCGATCAATATCAATATCTTTAAGTGATGAACTAGCACAGGATATATGTGAAAGGAGAAAAACATTTTCTCTAAAAAGAAGCAGAAATTTTCATTATGATATTGAAATTCAAGAAAAAGAAAATTTACCGATAATCAGTTTGATATTTAAGATTCCGACAAACTGTCCATAAATGTGCAAGAAATACGGGTGAAGTACTTAAGGTCATTAGAAAGCTAAAAGAATAATTTATGGTAGAAAAAAAATAATTTCGAGAAATTTTCAATTTACTTTGATCGAAGTATTGATTCATATTGATGAAAAAGAATCATACTATGAGCAATAGCAGCTAAATTTGCAATATATTCACTATTATTTTCTGTTAATGTTTGATCTTTTAGATTTGTCAGTTGAATGCAATAATTTGTAATTGTTCGTTTATTCAATATTGATAAACAATCTTCAATGAGTTCACAATCAGGTTCGTCCTATAAAAAGAAAACAGAAATATTAGTTTACTTTTTCAAATGATCGACAAAAAGCCTGTTTTTTTCAAATAAATATGATCACTATTTTTTAATACTACTATTTACTATTAAGCCCAAGCTCACTTACAACAATAATCGGAAAATTTTCGAAAGTAGAATGAAAGTCACTTTTCTACTTTGTCACAGTATTTTGAACGATAGTCTGCAGTCTACCGAGTAAGAAAACTATGAAATCGTTACGATGAGTTTCTATTGTATCATATTGACAACACAATTTTTTCTTTTCAGTTCTACTCGACTCTTGTTTAAGAAAAGATGTAAACATACTCGAGCTTCACTTTCTACATCCATTTGTTCATTTGTATCTTCTTCGTCTATGTCATTAACAGATATTGGTAGTTTATTAAGACTTCGTCTTGTAATTAAAACATCAATGAAGTAACGAATAACTGTAACTATTTTTCTCGTTAATGATATTGGTAATTTATCGATCCGACTATCAATAATTAAAAGAAAAGCATGTAATTGATATAGTTTCCATTTTTTATATGAAAAAGAATCTGTTGGAAATGTTGGATTGAAATCAATTAATTCAATATAACGTATCGCAGGAAAATTTGCACGATGAACAAGCGTTGGCGTGATAATTAAAGGCAATCCAGCAAGATCCGAACGAGAGAATAATTCATTACGAAGAGCATTTAATGCTTCATCTCTAAAGAAAAATTAAAGTAAAATCTTCAAATAATTATCAATTGTAAAACAAATTCACTATACCTAACACTAGAATCTAACAATTGATATTCAATAGGTCGAGCAAGTAGTTCAACAATTGTTTCAATAGCTGGTATACGACTTGTTTTACTAACATCGGCTGGAACTTTTGATTGAATAACAGAACACATTTGTGTATAGTAGCCTTAAAAAGTTTTATTTAATTAAAATTTATTTCCTATTGCAGATATTTTTGTTTTTTGTTACCGCTTAGAATAATATTCCTTAGAAAATAACTTGTGAGCACATTTAAATTTTGAGAAATAACGACGTTTTCATTTGTATAACTTTTTATATCAGTAAACCATTCGATGAATCGTGTGGGTAATCGTATAGATTCAAAATTTGAAAGACATCTAATTTTTAGACAGACATGTTTTTCCCGAATTAAAATCGATTTTAAAATTTTTTACCTGACTGCATATTTTAATAATTTCGCAATGGCAATTTTCAAAGAAAGATTACCAATGGAAAGCTTTTCCATAATTGCTATTCGATGTTTCCAACATGATTCAATCAATGACATCTTTTAACGATCAAAACAAAAATAAAAAATAAGACGAAAAAAGGCTCTCTATTTATTTACCATCAGTGGAGCATCAGCGCTTGGTTTAAAGCCAAAATCAATTAAATTAGCTAGATGTACAAGATTTTCTTCATCGAATGAACTTGATTGAAGTTGAATTAATAGGTTTGATATACGCTCACGAGCTAATCGTCTCTTTAAAAAAAGAAATATAAATTATTGTCATAATAGGAAAACGAACAACTTGAGAAACATCAAAAGTTTAAGAAAGATATCTATCACAAAATAGTCCTATTTATAAGAATCTCAGCTTGAGAGTCCTGAAAGATTGTATCCAATTAATTATAAACTATAACAATAGATTTATCTCTTCGTACATTTTTATGTAAAAAATAATCTGAGTTGCCAAATCATAGATAGAAACACTAATGTCACCCCAAACTCATTGATTCATAAAATAAGTATATTAATATTTGATTCAATTTTTACTCATGTATATTTATTCCAAAAAAAAAGTAGTTAATATAGTTCCTGATTAAGAAATTCAATCTATCACTTTTCATTATTGTCTTGTGCAGTGTCTGTTCTCTTGTAGTAAATGTTAGAAATGGGCATTGTAATAACATTTTCTCGAAAGCGACGTTCCGCTCGTTTGAAAGTAGTCTAGGAAAAACGTACGCTTCTATAGTCTTAGCATTGAAAGTTTATGGACATGTTGCATTTAGATACTCTTCTGTATGTATATCACGTCTAATAAAGCAAAAAGAAAATACTTACGAGTCGTTTTTGCGCTAATATTCTTCGATAAAAAGTTTGTATTTTAATCGCCGAATATAGTTGTTTCCGCGTAAGCTAAAAATGACCAATACAATGTAAGACTAAGGATCGCAATAAAAATTTTACTTCGCGTTTTTCTCGATCCTGTTCAGCACGTTTAATAAAATCATCTCGAGTATTCTAAATGTAAAGAGTCAATTTATTCTATACTATTTTAATTGTTTGTTTTCAACATACAATATTCGATGTTCGACTATAATCTTGTGCCGGATGTGATTTATGATTACCAACGAATAAGAAAGAATGCATCTGAAAAAAAAGTTCAATATCTAATTCCATGTTTTTTTTTCAAATTTTATTCAAGTATTTATTCTAGTAAATCCTATGATAGATAAAAATTAAATAATAGCAACTGTTGTACAAGAAACTTTCGCGACATTATTAGCAAAATATGGATTTGTTGGCAAAATTTTTATCGGTAAATCCCACGTCATGCTTTCAACATCCATTGAATTGGGCGGTGACCACGCTGTGCTTTTTGATGGATCATTATTTGTTAGTAATGAACCACGTGGAGTTTTCGATATGACAAATTCAAAATGTAACTTCCATCGTAATGAAACTAGATACAATACGAAGAAGATATAAAAGATTTCGTTTCTTTGAAACAAATTATTTTTACCAAGATCTATTGAAAATGTTGGTGTACAAGATAATGGAATAGAAAGAGATAAATATGTTTGAAATGTTGATAAACAAAATTCCGATTGTCTTGTATATGATGTTGCATTAGCTAATTGACTTGATTTTCGACGATAATGTGGATTTAAGATTTCTTCACTTTGTAATGTAACAGTATATTGTACGCATGGTACATCTGTATGGTCGAAATCAAGTATACCTAATATATCTTCACCTAATTTTAAATTATTTTTAAATAATGTGAAACGACAAACACGACCACGATTATTAGTTACATTGTAAACATCTATTAATTCAAAAAGAAAAAATGAGACATAGCAATAGAATTATCTTTTGATCCTTGTTTACATACGTTGATGCGTTCGAGATGTGAGAATTTGAAGAGCATCTAAAGCTGTTGTTAAAGAATCAATTTCTGTACGATTCGGGCAAACAAATGGATTATCAACGGTAGTGCCAGGTTGAGATGAAGCTATTGCCACTTTATCCTGTCGAATATACTTATCTAAATCTGTGAGATAAAACATGTATTAGAATAGAGTTATAAAAAGATTTATATGACTGTCTTGAATCTGTGCTTTTCTTTTTATTCGTCCATGTATATCCGTACCTGGTACAACTAATACGCGAAAAGGTACTCGAATCAATGTTGTTGGATGATTCACACGTTGTGTACCAATTGTAAGTTTATATGAATATTTAACGTAATTTCCTCGAAATGTAGGAGGTACATGAGTCGAAATTGTTTCACTGTAAGAAACTAAAATACATAAGATTAAAAGTTCCTCTCATGACAAAAAGAAAGTTAATAAATACAGACACATTCGAGTTTCGCCTGGTTGTAATATAAGATCACAAAACAGTACACATGGTTTAGATGTATAGACTGTTTGACCAGTTTCGCCTTTTGTAGCAATTAAAGCAGTAGAATCCAATGGAACAATATCAACATTGGTTGCAAGTGAATCATTCGATTTTGCACTTGAATTTTGTTGTTGTTGTAAATTAACTTTCTGCTCGTTTACATAACGCTGGCAATGTAGTTGAACACTTGCCCATGATATTTTTTCCGGCGTTCCCCTGAAAAAATTTAAAAATTTCAATTTCAATCAGAAATAGTTTATTTATCATTTTTATACTGATTATATGTTGCATCATTTTCATTAGTTGATTTATTTATTAATGTTATTCGACAATGGAGAGTTTCGCCTGCTAGAAATACGGGACCCCGTAAAATTTCGGCAATTACTTCAATCATATCATTGATATTCACTTCTTTGACAGAATCTACTAGATGAGATAATTCGACAAGAGGAATAAACTGTCTGACGAAAATGACGACGCTATTTCTATTCTTTTTTTGAGTCAGACTACTCAAGAATGATTGGTACAAAATCAGCTGGTCGTTGGTTGTTATTTTTTTTATTGTAGAACTGTAACGCCATCTTCGCTAGATGGCTCTAATCACAAGAAGTCCGTCAATGTAGTAGTTTCAGTGAATCTTTCATTGAAACTTGTCATCACTAAGACGACCATTTTCAAAACTCACTTATTTTATTTTTCTCTATGAGATGGTGATTTACAAGTGGTATCATATCTGCTGTTTAACGAGTTGTAAAACACAATCACTATTTTCTTCCCATTGCATAACCCGGTTCGATTAGTATCACAATGATGTTTCCTAACATAGATATTCTTTTCATACGTGCGTTGCTTCAATTTTAGTAGTTCATGTAATAGTAACTAGATAGCAACATGAAATTCAAGCAGCGCATAAACCAATTAATAGAATCGTAGTGCTGAAATGAAAACATGAACGCATAGTATGTAACTCTCAGTATACAGATTTCTATCGATTGCAATAATCTTAGAAAATGTATCATGGATACAGAATGTAGAATTAAAACTGCTTGTCTACAATTGTTTTTGAGTAATAACATCAAATGTAATATTTTCTGAAAAATGCGCGATACCAATGGAATGTGCACCGATTTTTATTTAAACTTGAGTTTTTATTTAGAAAACATGTTCGAACTATCCATTATTCAAATATCAAACGCTACCAAACCGAAAAACATGAATATAATAACATTTTTTATTTTTAGATTTTCTTTTATTCGTCAATGTTAAAAAGAAAACAAACACAGAAAGCATTCAAGATACTTTTCTTTTCTTTCTGAATAGCAAAAGATGATACAGATAATACACTCAAAACGAAAACAAAAACAGAAAAACACATACACACACACACACACACACACACACACACTTGGAATGTTCTTATCAAGCAAACAAACATACTGTCTATCGTTACACATCATATTGAATGTTCAGATATGTTACTGCTCACCGATTTGGTTTATTTGTTTTGCATATTATATACAATTTTTATTAGCACAGCATAAGTTTTACCAGCTTCTGAATATCTGATCTAAAAAGAACATTGTCTCCGCTATTTAAGATACAGATTGAACAATTTCTTTTCTCATATCATTCCATTCATCTTCAATTGAAACAAAACTTCTTTGTAATAATTCCATTTGTTGCATTAGAGAATTTTGCATTGTAATTGTAACAGCAAATTGTTGGCGAAATACAGATAAACGTTGTTCAAATTTTTGCTGAATAGAAACCTGCAAAATAGTAGAAAAAAGTAAGAAAATTTTCTTTTGCAAAAATTTACATCTTTAGTGATATTTGAGTTTCTTGATGGAAGAATTTGTTTAGATGAATTATTTATTGTTAAGAAATTTTGATTAACATTATTTGATGATGTTTCATGATTTGCTATTGACGATGAAGGTGACGATATCGAAATAGCAGTTGTATCTTGTTTCCGATATTTTTTTATTATACTTTGATATTTTTTATTCGCTGCTGAAATAGTTTGTTGATCATTTGAAGTAATAAAAAATGGACTAGTTGCTGGTTTTTCTGTATTCATTGTTGAATTTCGATTTCGTGCTAAACGTAAAAATGGTAAACGTTCTTGTTTTGATACCAAGTGATGTTTCTTTATTAAATGATCGGTTAAATTCAATACCCATGTATTACAACGTGGACATAATAAACGTTTTTTACCATCGATAGGTAAATAATTGGATGATTGTTGTTCATACGGTGATGAACCTGTTGCTGTTGTTAAATGATTATTATTATTGTTATTATCAGAATCGGTCACAGGTGGTGATGGACCAGACGATGTTATCTGTTGATTATTTGTATTAATAGTAATTGGAGTTTGTTGAGGACTCTTGTCAATATGATTTGCGACTGAATTTATTGGTGAACTACCGCTAACGGTTGCCATTGAAGAATGACGAGCGTTCGTATGATTATGATTATTATTGTTACGATCTGCATAGGCCAGTAATGTTAAACTTTCTTCACGATTAAGATTATGTGCAACAGTAAGATGATGAGAAAGTCGAGAAAAATTTTTCTCATCACATATTGGGCATGTTTTAACACGACGATTTGCTGTTGATTGCGTATTGAGAATACTAAATGAGAAAAATAATGTAGGAACGAAAGAAAAAAAAATCAAACTTACATTTTATTCGTTTCATCATCAATATTAGTGACATGTTCGCTATCAGATGAATCGAAATTTCGATTAACAAATACACAAACAGGTTCAGATTTTATGGGAGTCCAACTGACGGTTTCGTTTGAAATAGGAGGATTTTCTGTTGCGATAGAAAAAGAAAATCGTAATGACTGTAACAGATTTATGATTAAAATTCGTTTTCTATACCTTGATTAGTATTATGTGTAGAAGGAGGACGTAATGGAAGATCGACTGAAGATTTTGTTTCATTTTCATCCATTTCTGATAACTAAAATAGACGAATTTGTTCCATTTTTTGCTTCGTTGTCGAATGAATATTACTTACGCCGTCTTCATCTTCACTAGGATAGATTGGATATGAAGGATTACCATTTTCATCGAGTTGCTCTTTAAAAAAAAATAAGTTTTACTTTTCATTTTCGAATAGATCATAGTAATATTACCTTTTGTAGTATACGATATATTTTCATTACCATTTGATTCATCTTCATTAATACTAGTTTTACGTAACATAAAACGTTGAAAATCGTCAAGATTTTGTATCGATGAATTCTTTCCGATAACTTCATCATCTTCTTCTTCTTCTTCGTCATCATCGTCATCATCATCAATTTCATCATCAATATAAACACCTCCACCTGCGCCCTCATCGGAAGACAACTGAGTAAGTTCATCTTGACCATTGATCATACTTGTATTCATTCCATCTTGATCATCAGTTTCACCGTCAACTGAACGCTTAGCACGCTTACCCAAACGTATACTATTTGTTAATATACGCGATATAGATGCTTTACTTAAAACACGATTTGATGTACGTTGTAGACGCATTTGAATTTGACCAATTGTTATTAACGGATGACGTCGTTTCATTTCTCGTATCATTTCAGCTTCTGTTTCAGTTATAAAACGAAGACGTGTACCAGCGCGTTGTTTTGCTGAGATACGTCCTTCATCAATGTAAGTTCGAAGAATACTGCGAGCTAGACGGAAATTATGAAAAAAAAAACAGAAAATTAAAGCTTTGTTTACTTATCGAATCATGACATAGGAAAAATATGAAACCTGCATTTGTTTTTCTTATTAGAAAAACAACCATAATAGCCTTCAACTGAAAATATGTTGCAGTTATACAGATAACATATTTTATTGTACTTCAGGTACATGATCTATTTACAGCTAAGTTGCTCTCTTGTATTCCCCTATATGATACACTTCACTCACTTATTATTAGATGGACATAATCTGGTAAGTTCAAAGAACAAATCATAAGTATCTAATTCGTTTTTTATCTTCAGCAATTGTTAAACACAATTTGTACGGAAAAAAATTCTAACTGATTTTTTCTATTTAAATTATTTCTACTTTATAGGTTTATTTCTCTTACCTGTTGATCGTTTAATATTAAGTTTTTTAGCAAGTGCTATAAAATCTTCCCCTTTTCTATATGTTTCAATCAATTGTCGTCGGTCAATATCACTGACACGTACATAACGACCACGTCGTTGATCAATTAGTTGTTGTTGAATTTCCATCGGATTCATTCGTTTACTTTAGAATTAGCTCAATTTCTTATCGTTTGAAATAAATACATAAAAATGATAGGAAAGAGTAAAAAACGATTTTCTGAAAAGAAAAAAGAAGAAAATGATGTGATGAAAATCATAAATGTGAAACAGCTGCTTTTCCACAGCTGGTGTATCTCGTCATTCTAACTTTTCATTTATGACAAAGAAACAAAACAAAAAGTAGTATGAAGTGATCAATGAATAAATGAATGGAAAAAGTGTTCAAAAAAAAGAGGAAAGAAACCTGACGCACTCAATGGCATGTACAATAAATGATATTTTATGTTCCAATGAAAGATTTTCCAATTAAAGGTCTATTTCAATAGAGATAAAAGAAAACAAAAATGAAGGATCACTACTACGCATTCGTTGGCCTTTTTCATACTGCAAGGATGAAATGTGCGTAGGCCAAAAAATAAAACACGAGAGATAGCATAGTTGAGTGTCTTAACTCTCGAGCATTCGCGTACTGTTCGCTCTTTTTTTCACGTTATATATATAAATATAGATGCCTACGTCTACATTGAAATTTTCATTTGCCCGAAAATTTACATCGCTTTCTTTTCTTTTCTTCTCGGTTTATTTACTTTGTATACCTTTTCTTCAATGATGAACGTTAGATATTCGCTGGAGTAGTAAAATTCATTTTCCCGTTTGTTCTCTTTCTCGCCTCGATTTTATTCATTATATATAGTGCATAGTATATAAATTTGAACGAAAGAACACAAGACGAATTTTCATATGGGCATTTTCTAATAGAGAACGGCAAAAGACATCGTTCTTTATGTGTTCTTTGCATATTAATATGATACATTCGTTTGTTCGAAGAAAATACACTGAGGAGAATGAGACACAGAGAGAGAGAGAGTGTGTGTGTGTGTGTGTGTGAACAGCGAGGTTGGTGATCGGCTCATAGAAAAAAAAAAAAGAAAAGAAATAATCCGAAAGCGAAACTAAAACTAAAAGTTTGAGAGAACGAGAAAAAAATTGCTAAACGATTTTATTTTCTTATCCTTAGAATTTTCGATTATTTGTCAAGTGTGCAACTTACAAAAACGAAAATCTTTTTTCTCAGTTGATATTATATAAAATTTGAGAATTCCTTTCTTTCATCTAGATCATTATCGTCACGAGTAAAAGTATACCTGATCGTAAGTTATGTTTCACAAATGAGAAAAAATAACCTTTGTATTTGTTCACTTACCAATAAAGACAAGTAAATGAATAGAAATTACTCTCAATCTAATCTAATGCATATTGTCGTACTCTCTCTTATCTTATATTTAGACATTCACCTATAATATATTTTCGTCGGTTGCATTATTGTGAAAAAAGCTTGTTATGCGTAACTATCTATCTATTTATATATATATATATATATGTGTATAGAAGCAAAGTAGTGGGGAGTGGAATTCTCAAAGACAGAACACTACATATTCGTTTTCTCGTTCTTTCACTTACTTAGACGAATGAAAAAGACGAGTAAGAGCACATATAAATACAGCAAGTAAAAGAGAAATGTTACGGTGAAACACTTTTAGCCAACATTACTCGACTAACAAACGGTTGTGCGTTGTCGAGAAAAAAACCAAATAAGAGAACGTGAAATTGACGACGAAAATAGTTGCTGACTGACGTGCCTATTTACCGAAGAGCGAATACGACCAAGGTGTTTTCTTTTTTTTCCTTGCTCCTCACTCCACATACACATGCACAAGCTAAATAGAAAGACTATTTGCTTTATATTTCGTTTGCGCTCGCCCTCGTCTTTTCCTCTCTTATTCGTCTTTTTTTCATTTATATACAACGCCGATTCGTGATTATTACATATATACAAAATATTCTGTCGTCTTGTCATGTCTATCTTTCGTTCTTTCTCCTATCAGTGATAATTGTAGTTGTGTAAAATGTTAGCAATTTCATTTTTTTATGTAAATTTATGGAGACATTGAAAAGCTTTTTCTTTTCTCTCGGTCAATCGATTATCATAATGACGTAGACAAGATGGTCCTTCGGAAAAATGAAGGGGAAGAGAAAAAAGGATTGATACGTTAACGTGACAGGTAGACTTGAACTTATATGCAAACCGTGATAAAGAATATATAATGTACGATGAATGTTTTCATCCATACTTTACTTGCTACTCATTCGATATAAATAAAGAACGTTTCTATGTAGTTTGAGCAAGTGGTGTATGTATAAAGAAAAAAAAGAAGAAGAGGAGAAATGCAAACAAAATTCAAGTGTTTGGTATCTACCTACAGGGAAAATATGAGAACGAGTGAAACGAAAGTAAAAGAAAAGCTTTTGTTTTTCTGAAAATTAATCCTGTACAATGGAACACTTGAACGATAAAATATCTTTTGCAATACTTCAAATAAATTGAATGAATCGGAAATGAAAATATGACTGTTTTTTATTTGCTCACATGCTAATTACAAATATAATGTATGTGTATGTTTATTCGAATCGATTTTCTTCATAAAGATAATTATTAGAATAACAAGTTTACACATGAAATTCTTGCATATTTATAAGGCTATGAAAAGAAAATAATGTGTTTATATTGTTTAGTCGTTAATTTACCTGTATGTGAAAAATATCATCGATCAACTAGACTTAAGACAAAGAGAATATTTGTCTCGTATTGAATTTAATTCAAATTTGACATACAAATTTTTCTTAGCATATTGCACGGTAAATTATTTCTTTCGGGCAATCGAAAACGATGAAACTTATCAAGAATATTAAAAGAAAAACTATCGAAAAGAAATTTCTATGAAAAAAGTAGAACGGTTACTTGTTGTGAATTGTACTCTGAAAATCAATTAAAACGGACGACTTAGAAGAAAAAATATCCTTATTCGTGTAGTTTACGCGAGTATGAGTGCGTATAATAGTTAATACACATTTCAATGAAAGGAAAATGAAGTATTATGGAGAATGATTTAAAATCTATACAAAGATTTGTTTTCATTCTTTGTTACATGATATTGCATATTCGTACTCATTGATCAATTAGACAAGATATGCATCTAGAGAATTCAACAATAATAAAACGATCAATGTTACTTGAATTTAATTAGAAGAATTTAATTTCTTGGAAACATGTATGATTTTAGAAATTTCACTTGTTCGCGTATGAATACTTTCCTATTCATGTCTTAATGTGATAGCAAGCTGTTTTTCAGTGGTGTAGAAAAGAAAAGACATTAAAAACAGATAACTATACTAAGGATTGAGACAAATTCGTTTGCCAAATATTTAGATCAATTTTGTAACGGATGTTTTAGTATTTATTGGCGAAGAGCCATTGTTCAGTCATCCAACGCTATGTAATTGTTAATCGAATCGAAATTATTTGAAATTATTAAGTAAAAGTGTTAGTGACTAATTTGAAAAACATTGAATAACAGAAAATAAGTTTAACAAAAACAATCCATAAAGAGCATAACTTTTCTACTTAAAAGAAATATTATTTTCAATAAAAATTTAAGTATAGCTATTATTCACTACTTTCAAGGATTGAATTTCAGCAAGGAACCATCTTGAAATATCAATTGTATCGATTACAAGTAGTTGTTTTTTAATATGAGTTTGAAAATATTATTTCTTATCCAATTCATAAAATACTTCAGTAATTATAAACGTTTTGAGAACTTAGTTACTAGTTATTTTACGAAAACTATAATGTGCGAATAAGACGATATAAGTGAGTCGAAGCCTTTTATTTTTTTAAATTAATTTGCATGTGAAGCATGAAAACAATTAACTCTATTGATTAGTATGAAATACCGTGAAATATGTGTGTTTTTATTGGTTGTCCAAAATACAGGCAAATTAGAGTATAAGATAATGTAGTATCAACTAGTGTATAATCTTAACCCTGTTCGAGATTACATGAGTCTTCTTTCTCTATTCAAGCCACATGTATTCTTTGATTATCAATTCGTTGATTATTGTTTTTATATTTCGTAATATGAACTTTAAAATCCTTTATAAGATTGAAAAGGTCGTTTTAATATAGTAGTTTCTTTTCAAGTGCGTCTATTTTGTTTTCCGGATAACGAAGGATCCGCTATTTTTATTATCATATATGATTTGCCAAAGCCCAAGTCGAAGAGTTCGCCCTGGAAACGGCCTGTTCCGGTGATTTCCGATCAAGTTCTGCTGGAAAGCGCCGGAAAAGTTCGGCCGTATTTTTGACCGGAATACTGCTTCCATGTTCCAGCGATTTCCCGTGTTTTCCTGTAGAATATGGTAACTTTCCCGCATATTTCCTGGAGTATCCTACGGGATCCGGTGGCCGAAATGTTCGACCTGGATAATAAAATTAGGAAAACTTTCATTGCAATAGTAGCTAATAAAAATTGATTTTAATCTATTTATACTCATCAGCAAATTTCGATAAAGTTGAAGGTGCAATAATATGTAAATCAATTGATATTTATATTCCCTCTACTGAAAGGAGGGTATTACGAAAAACGATTTAAATGGGTTCGTTCATCCAATAGGAAAGCAGATGCACAAACTTAGCAAACCGCAAACAATATCTGTAGTGATAGGTTTCACCGACGGTAATCGGGGTCGAGGAACACGATGGCGTTGTTAGTTTTTTGAAACTGTCCTTTTTTGCTTTTTTTTTTGGAGAGAGAGAGACTCTTTTTAGAAAAAAAATAGTTTTTTTTATAAGGGTTGGCTTAAGGTAATCGGGGCCGAGGAACTCTAATTTGGTGTCAGATTTTCAGAATTAATGATCCTCAAGTTTTTTAGTGAAAACCATTTTTTTTCGAGGAAATAGTTTTCCTTGTAAAATTTGATCAGATGCTGTCGGGCTCAAGGGAATCGAACCGGAGGTCAGAGTTTTTTAGGAAAAAAATGACTTTGTTTAAAGTTTGACCGACAGTTTTTGACGCGGAGTCATTCAATTTTAAATGTAGTTTTTCAAAAATATTTTGTCATCGTTTTGATAAACA